CCACGACTCTCTGGGCTTGGCCGCCCAGCCAGTTTCTTATCCAGCAAAGGGTGTTCCTGTCTAAGCCATGAGCCACTAGCTTTTCTAGGAGAATGCTGTGGGCATGTGTAAGGATGCGGGCTTGTGAACGTACTACAACACATAAACTAGGGTATGAGCTTAATATGTATCTGCCCTACTGGGCAGTAGCTACCCTTTCTCCCAGAATAAGTGCCCAGTCATTTATTCCCTTTTATTAAGGGATAAGCATGTTGTATTTACTCTGGGGTAGGAGGAAACATACACTACAGCTGACATACTGCAAATACACACCTTGATTTATCCTGTAGTAGTTTGTCTATATGTCCATCTCCTAAGACACAGCTGAAATGTTGCTTTATGACATTCAGGTGAGGCTTAACCAGTTTAAACAGTAACAGAACCTCTTTTTTAAGTTTAGCTAAGACTATTATTGCAACCCTGATTATTTGGGTTTTTTTACTGTTAATCACAAGGATTTTGATTAATTCTCTTTATAACACATTTTGACTGTATAAAGACTGGCGATTAACCGTAATAATAACTTCTTGTGATCTCATTTTACCTTTGTCTCATCCCGTCTCAGTGTAGTGTCTGATTTACGCTTTTTCTCAGTCTCCTTTTTGATAACAGTTTTTTACTTGAAACAGCGATAGCTGGATTCTGAATTTGAAGTTAAATATAAGAACTTATGAGATACCTAAGAGATATGTGCTGTATATGTTGCTTCTTTAATGCTAAGCTGGACCAAGTTGCTGAAGGAGTAAGAAACTGCAAACATCACTTGTAATTAAAGGAATTTTTAAATGTAATTTTCTGAATAATCACTATAGGGAAATCCCACAGGCACAAGCACTATGCGTAGTTGTGTGTCTACCAGTTAAAATCTGCTGTATTGTCTGGCAAAGTCCAGTTTTATTTTGTTTCACCCAGCTGAGCTCACCCTCAGTCCGAGATGAGTGATTTATCTCCAGAGTGTCCACATTGGGCTTAAGTAAGATTTTTGTTATTTTTTTCTTTTATTCCAGCCAAACTGATTTGGTTTCTAACTTTCTAACTGTAGAGAAATGATCCATCACTTCAGAAACAGACCCTTAGAAATAGAAGACAATATGCTAACATAGTCTTTGCAGTTCAAATGTGAAGAACCAAGAAGATGAAGAGCACTAGAAATGTGAGGTTCTTCCTAAAATTATACCTTTCCAGTCCCTGGTAGGTCTCCATTGTTCTGAGAAGGAAGGACTAAAGCCTTTCCTGCTCCAAGACTTTGCCCTGATCTAGTGACTGGTGAATAATCGAATGCCCACACAGGTGAAGCTGCTTCCTGCATCTGGGGAACGTATTCCTGTTCAGCCTGGAGTGGCTCTTGTTCAATCTGTAGGTTATGGTCAGTCACACAGTGTGGGGCAGGGCTTTCTATCGCCTTGGCTGGAGACAGGGTGAACTGGAAGTTTACTGGCAGGGTAGAGAACATTTTCTAGCAATTCACTAAGATTAACAGCTTCAGTACATCATCCATCCAAGACCAAGTGGTGACAGTACTGTTTCTTTTGCTGACCCTTCCCTTTGTTAGTTGTGTGACTAGTGATTTTGTCTTCCAAAATATTTGTTTGGTGACAAACACACTTGGAACTCTGTCTTTTCCTTCTTTAGATCCTTGCTACAAATAACATGTAGGTTTTTTTTTTAAAGCTAAGAGATATGCTTTGTTCAATTTAGTAACCATACATCTGAAAAAGAAACACTTTTTATTAACAATAATGTGGGAGTGGTTATTGAAAATCAGCTTTTAAAAACACTGTATTGAAGTTCCTATTTGCATAGATTTAGAAAGCAGATCAAATCCAATATTGAACTGAGCTTCTGATAATTTTATGCTGCAGGAAGAGTAAGATTAACATTACTAAGTGTCTTTTTAAGAAGTGTTGTATTGCTGTATGGGGATTCATATTATTTAATATCCAGCAGCCATTCACTTTTGTGTAATGTTCTTTCTGTAGTGTCTGTTACTCTAAAAAACTGTGTGCAGCTCCAGGTTCCTAATAACTTTTTGTTGTATATCCCAAAGAATAGATGAGTAATTTGATTGTCTGTCTCTTTAGGGTTAATTTAAATTCATTTTTTTACTGTGAGACTATGCATTGTTACCAGGAGCAGTTAGCAGTGAAAATATCTATGTTTTGAAATATAATTACTGATCATACCTAATAACTGATTTTTAGTTTAGTCATTTTAAGAAATGAAAAGAACACCTACTTGCTATCAACATTTTTAATATCCAGTAAAAGTAATTTTATTATAAAATACAGGCTATCTTTTTTCTTATTAAAAGCTCAAATAAATAATTAAGAACATTTTGTTAGGATACAAATTGGCTCATAGCTTGGGAAAATGTTTTAAAATTTATTGCGATACCATTTATATGACAAATAAAACTAATAACTAATTAGGTTGAAAAAGCTTTAGTAAGTGAGAAAATGAAACCTATTGAATATGCTCTAGATGAAATGACCTTTTTGAAAGACCTATTTTTGAATAAACAAGGTTACACTGTAAATAAATAAAGCATGAAAATTCATTTAAGGCCAGGACTTTATGTATCGAGAGTCATGAAGAAGGCCTTTATATTTTGAAGGCTTTTATGAGAAGATCTGATAAAATATTTTCAATTTATTTCTGTGTTAAATCTGTTTAATGATTTTTTTTGTTATTTGGTAGAACCGGACACTGGAATAGCTTCATCTTCAAAGCCAGAAGAAAGTTTCTATGCTGACAATTACAATCCCTTCAAGGATGAAGATGCCCCAGAGTACTTGAACCCATTTGATGAGCCAGATCCTGAGCCTGAAACGTTTGTAACTGTAAGAGATTCTCCTCCACAACCTGCAAAAAGGAAAAACGTCAGACCAGTGGATATGAGCAAATACCTCTACGCAGATACTTCTAAAGCTGAAGAGGAAGAGCTGGATGAGTAAGTATGATTCTTCATCTTTCAGCAGCTTTGGAAGCATTAGCGGGATTCCTGGCTTAATCTTGAAGTGCATTGGATTCAGCCATGGTGATCCTTAATCACCTCCTTAGCACAGACTGATCTTCAGCTCAGCAGCAGGAAATACCATACCCCCAAGTCATGCTGTTCAGCTGAACATGATCAGTTAGGAAACTTTTATTTGCCTGATAGCAAATCACTTGATAGGGAACAATCTGTATATCTTTTTGGCACTTCATGCCCTGCCAATTGCAAATGAGACAAAACTTAAGGAGCAGCGGACCTTGGTCCTTCCTGTCCTTTTTGACATTATTTTTACTGTATAAAAAAATAATTTTTTTTAATGATAAGGGAGAGTTCATTTTATAGTGGTGCAGTATGTAAAAAGGAAGCATGTTGTGCAGTCTACATAGCACATTTTTGAGAGTCTTGTAAAACTGAATCTCTATATGGGAAAGATAGCACCATATGCACTTTCTTAGGTTGTTTCTTTTATCACAACCACACATAAAACTTTTATAAACTCACACTGACTGCCTTTTATTATAGTATAGAAACCTAACAAGAAGTGAGAGCTTTTAGCAATAGCTGTGCAGCTTGGGAGATTTGAAGGCGTATACTTACTCCTTGTTTGTGGTCATCAGTCGCTAACCACACCACTCATGAGACAGTTTATGGTGATTACATACAAGCAATTTTATAGACAACAACTTTAACATTTAGTTTTACATTATTTAGTGAGATTTATCATGGCATGATATTTGCATTACTTTCATATTTAATATTAGTAACAGGTGTCGCATCATCATCTTTATGTTTCTCCATTTATAGCTGTGTTCTAGGAAATGGAAGAATTCCCATGTACTCTAACAGAAATGTGTAAAGAACCCTGTGGGTTTTTTTTCCTTCTAAAGCTCTGTGGCCATGGACTTGTTGTTGTTTGTTCTGTGAAAAGAAAAAAAATGGGCATTGGGGGATGGTGTCTCTGCCAGCTCCATTCATCAGGGCAGTGCCTGAACAAACAGCACTGGCTGCTGTGTCTTCAGAGCACAGTGTGATCACACTGCTGCTGGTCACACCAGGCAACCCTGATCAGTCACTGATCACCAGAATCTGCAGGGAACAAAGGTATGCGTACTTTGCACCTGCAAAGATATGGGTATAGAGGACAAAAAAGATTGAGGAGAAGAGCAGAAAGAGCAAAATATGGATGGGCAAGTGAAGAATTTTCTCTATATTTGTATTCGTATTTCCACCCTAAGCAAATCTGTGCCAAATGGGCTTGCAGCAATGTTGTAACAGGCAGTCTTGTTTTTCCTGTATACTGGATTGTAGATTTCTCTAGCCCTTTGTTTACGATGGCTGCCTTCATATTTTAGTGACCCCATTTGCTTTATTCCTTTTTTTCTCCCCAAGGATAAAAATAAACTCACACATAGGTGAATACTAATTGAACATAAATCCGATCTGAGTTTTCATTATAAAAGCATTTCCCATGAAAAAATTGAAGGAGAAGGAGTCAAAAAGCACTGTAAAATTTTTTATCTAAGTTTTTTCTGTCCTGACCCCCAAAGTAGCTTCTTTTCCACATTTTCCTCACAGGTTACAGGAGCTCCATGTTGCTGAAAAAAATGTAAATGTATTGGGTAGAAGCATGGTGAGGAGAACCTCTGAATCTTTACACTGAAATGCTCTGGAGGAATAAGTGTAATAATAAAACTCAGTTTAGGAACACTGGACTTGTGATACTAACTCACACTTACAAGCACTGTTATGCCTTACCACATGTCATTAATTTTCAAATTTTTCAGTGTAAAGTTTCTGCTAAGGTATGGTGCAGGAAACACCAAAGGAAAGATTTTCATAGGCAGTGCCAGTTGGTAGTTTTTGTGTGCCCTAAATCATGAGGGTTTATGTCCAGATGTGTATTGTTTCTTATCTAATGTGAATATTGATGCTTTTATTATCTACATAAGTGGCTAATCTTCTTCCAAATCCTATTAAAGTCTGGGCTTCTGTGTCAATTTGTGACAAAGAGTTCCACAAGAAAACAAGATCTTATATGAAATGTGTTTCCTTTTATTGATTGTAAATAAGTTACCTTTCCAATCCCATACACAATCTCTTCTGCTGGTTTATCAAAACAACAATTGGTAGTATTGGATTTATCTGCCATAAACAGTTGTTGTGTTGTGTATCTCTAACATGTTCACCATTACTTGTCACTTGTCTGAGTTAAATGTTACTAACTTTTCCAATCTCTCTTCATACAGAAGTCTCTCCATCTCTCTAATCATTTTCACCGCACGTCTCTGGACCCTGTTATTTTTTCTGCTATGTATCTATTTTAAGATGTGTTGACTTGGCCTGAGCAGTGTATTCAAGACAAGGCTGAACAACTGAGTCATATCACGCCATTAGAAAACTTTGCATATTATTTTCAACCTCTCTCCTAACATCTTGTCTTTTGTTTTTTGGTTTTGTTTTGGGTAGTTTTTAATCATTTTTGACTGCTGCTGGTCCAGTGCTTTCCCCATGAGTGTTTTTTAACCTGATAGATGGAAGGCATGAGAAATAGAAGGCTCCTGAAAGACATTTACTGTCACTCAGGAAATAACAATGTATTTTTGTGCCTGCATCTTAAACGTTTCATTGAAGTTCACTTAATGTACCACTTGGCATCTTCCTCTTGTATTTTGTGTGAAATGCCATGATGTGTTGTGGGAACTTGGACACTTCAGTTAGCATCAGGACTATTGTCCCACTCTACTCTGGCATATCCCTAGTTCTGATTCTGGCCTCAGAGCTTGCACAAAGTGCCCCAAGAGCTGAACTCTGACTCAGGTTTTGTAACAGACTCTCATCATAATCTTGGAAAAGGTACTTACCCTCACTGCGCCTCTGTGCAGGATTTACCTTGGGTAATTGACTTAATTGAAACATATTTCATTAATGATTGTGAAGATAACGTAGGATTTCACAACACACAGAAGCAAAGCATAGTCACAAGCGTAAGCTTAAGGAGGCGTTGCATGGAACAGAGGGACTTAGATGATCCAGAACATGTATTCTGCTGTAAAACTACACTCTCAAAACATCTGGCTAAATTCTCAGATGTGGTTAGAGATAAGGAACACATTTTCCTTTTGTTAGTGTGGGCATTTGAAAGTTAGTGTAAAATTCCGCTTTTGCCTTTTTGAATTTTATACATTAAAATCAAAATGGTAGGTGGCTACCTGTAAATTAAGGATAGCAAGCCTTGCTAGGTTAAGTTTAATTATTTGAAAATAGCATAGCTCACAACTACTTGACGTATCATGCTTTCAACTGTAGTACTTCTGATTGCTGATATTGCCTGATCGTTATTTAACCCCACCACAGTGACAGCTTTGTTTTTCCTCCTCAATGAAATGTTGATTTTTTTCAGGTAACCCATAACACTGATCAAAATAATTTTTAAATTGGTCAGAATAAAACTTGCTTTCAGATATTATTTGGCTCCGTGGCTTCTTATCTTGTTAATCATTGCATGGCTTAGAATAATGCTGTCTAATTGCAAAGACTATCGAGTTGCCATCTATTGAAGCTGCCTGTTGTACAAGAAGCCACAAGCCAGCACATTGCCAGTGACAGCTTAATGCCAGGTAGTTTGGGGACAGTCTAGTATCTCTTTAGGCAAATCACATTGTGTGGATTAATTAAATAACTTCACCAAAGCAAAAAGTATGGCAGCTAACCTCAGGGGAAAGTGCTTTAATGTTTTTCAGCTAAGGCTTTTTCCAGCCAGACTTTTCTCATGCTTAGTTTCTCGTATAGCCACATGGAAGCTGTTGGACCAAACTCTGCTACATATAGCAGACCCCAGTGACTTCAAAATTAGTATCCTCTATGGACAAGAACCAGGGTTGTTGTTTTTCTGCATTAAACTTAATTTTTCAAAAATACTTCTAAATATTTGGAAGACCAATTAAAAGTAGCAAAGAGGGGAAGGTGGGAAATAGTGTGTGTGTGTGTTCTGCCTATACTATTACCAAAATATGACGGTTTAGCCTGGCTTTCAAGCAAGTTCTTCTCTAGGAGAAAAAGGCAGTCACTTGTCTCCTTATAGCACTTCCTCCTGGGGCATGCAGTAGGGTACAGTTCTTCAAGATTATGCATGCAGTGCAGACAATTCTGGAACATAAAAATTCGAAAGAGAGTTCTTTCAAACTTTTTTACTCTCATTGATTTTTTTTTTTCTTGCACCAAATTCATTTTAAACACCTTACAAATACACTTTACTATTTCCAAGTAATTTCCAGAGGTAAATTATTTTTCTACCAAACATGCTGTGTCTGTTGGCTATTCAGAAGACTAACTTGTTGAACTACAGAAAACCTTGTGCTTTTCTGTAGAATGCATTGTTCTTCGGCCTTTATCTCTTTTATCTTCATTTTCACCTCCCTTTGAACTTTCCGGTGTCTGAAGACAGCTGAGCTGGGCTGTCAGCTAAATTAGAGCTACTGACAGCTAGGTGCATTCTCCACTCCAGCCTGAATACCCTCCTTTTTCTATTGCCTCCCATGGAAAACACCCATCCGTTTCTATTTAACTCATTATTTTGATGTCACCTTTAGTTTTGATTGCACTGGTGGATTTGTGCTTGATGGGCAGCAAAGTGGGAACACCTGAAAGTTGCCTTCAGTCAGCAGATGAGTTATTTTAGTGTTAGTCTTTCCTTTCACTTTGGTATCTGGATTTAGATCTCTTTCTCTGTAACATGCAGTGGCAGATTCTGAGAAAGGTCTGGGAGGTTTTAAACCCAGTCTTCTCTTATGTGCTTCAGTAAACTTTGCCCTTTAGAAGTAGACTTCTTTTCTGCAGTGTGGGTTGTTAATTGCTTGCTTTTTCTCAGTGAAAAGAGGATGATGGTAAACTTCATTAAAATAAATTCTAAAATCAGTCCATGAGACGGAAAGATATATTTTCATACTAAAAGTACACAAAACAGAGAAATTTGGTGTGGTGTGAAAGGAAACTGGATGAATAATTGGTTTTTTCCTTGTGCCCAAATTTTCCTGTTGTAGTTCTTTAAAAACAGTGTGTACTAGTTCATTACTCTTATCCTGAGAGGAAATTTGTGAATGGATCTAGCTAGGTAGGCTCTTGGATAATGCTATATGCGTTATTGTTTCCAACTAGAGTTGAATTCAAGGAACTGAGGTTATTTGTCATGATTAGTTATGCATTATATAAGTGTATGCAGGTAGATCTTTGTGAATTGCAGTGACTTAGTTACATAAACGTAGTCTGAGATATATGATAAATACATCTTGCAGGGGAGGTATGAACTAGAAAGGAATAATTAACATATTGGTTTCGTAATTAACCGTCCAGTTTGGATTGCAAAATATGAAAAGCATAGTTTATGAATAGAATAATTCAGTGCAAAGAGGATTCCCATAAGTATCCTTAGCAGGATACAAAATTGCTGGCTCTTCTAAGCGCATAGTCGAAGCCATTATTTGATGTATTATTGATTGATATTTGATGTATCAAAATAATAGCTAAAATTTGGAAATGCTGTGGAAGTATTTACTTAGGGTGGAACAAATGCAGAGCTGGAACATGAATGCCAGAGTTAAGAAGAATAGTTCTTTGGACTGCATCCACTTGGTGGAAGATGTTTACTGTCATTCTTAAAGGAGGTTTAGTTATAACAGCCAGTTTCAAAATACACAGATGGTAGCTGCTGGTATCTGTAGAGGTATACACAAATCAGCTGTAGTTTTCTTATGCTGTTCTCTTATCCGAAGACTGTTCTTGAAATGGTATGGTGGCTGTATGCTGCAGAGTTTAAAATACACTTGATGTGGATTGTATGCGTACAGATTTTTAGACTTGGGCAGCCAAGAGTGAGGTCTCTAAAGCCGTCTTGAAGCATGCATGCAAAAGTGACCTGATTATTAACTCTGTTCTAATGAAGCATTCTTAATTCTGTTCGTTAGAATATTAAACAGCCAGCAACTTCACTCAAATTTGTTGGTATTGAGCTTGGTCTGTAAATCAGATCACTCTTTGATAGTTAGCTAGCTTTAGATAGAGTTAGCTTTGTGCAATTGATAACACTTCTGTAATTTACAGGACTTTATAAAATTTGTAGAAATGCAGTTTAAACTGTTGTAGCTCACTTTTTCAATTGTATGAAAAAGTAGTATCTAAAAGCATGTAAAGGCAAATATAGTCTTATGTGGGATAATAAAAGCACTATAGTCATCGTCTTCTCTAAACAGGTCTTACTTCATTTTGAATTCCAAGGAGATAGCAAAGAAATATGTTTCCCTTCTTTTGATTAGATCAAATCCATTTTATGAACCAAAATCAAGCCCTGCTTTAATTCAAGTTGCTCCACTGCAAGAACCAGAAAAGAAAATGAAAAGAAAGGCTCCTGAACCACCAAACCTCTTGCCAAAGACAGAGACAGGCACGAGCGAGATCAACTCAGCTATTCCTGCATCGAGGGAGCTTTCTTCTTCTCCTAAGGTAGGTTTTCCATACCAAAATTTCGTCTTTGTTATTAATGGTGTGTTTATGTGTGTTGTAGACATCCTATTTATTTCTGCAGGTCATCTTAAAAGCTTTGCTTGTATTTAATAAGGTGTTGGCTCATCTTTGTTCACTTGCTGGTTCATAGGGAGAGAGTAGCAGTAGGAGCTGGTATTTTTTCTTTAAGGATTTAATGACAACAGTAACAGCAGCTGCGGTTTCAAAGAAAAGAGTCTTCTAGTAACAAATGTTACAGGACAGCTGGATATGCTGTTGAGAAGGAAGAAAACAATGCTGAACAATACTTTGTCTTGATCTATTGTAATGCCACTAAGCCTTGCCCCCATTGAAGAGTCTGTCTCCACATTTCTGTCATAAATCTGGGTTTTAAGAGCTTAGTACTGGATACTGTTAATTTGTCTTTGGATTTATATATGTCCAATTCCATAGGTATGCCAATGTAATTTTGAAAAAAAGAAAGTCTGCTTTAAATCAGATTAACTGTTTATTAGAAACGTCCAGACTAAGCATACTTATATATGCACATACATCTGTGTTTGTCTAGGGAAAATATGAGTTAATTTGTGTTGCAATGTATGGCGTGGGTATTGTAGGATTAAAACAGCTACTTCTGCTGGTGTGAGTTTCAACTCCAGTGTTTCAGCAGCTAGAACCATGCTTTTTTAAACAAAATAACCATTTAATAGTATATGTTAATAGGCCCTTCTTAAAAATGCATTTGATACATACGACTGCTTGTTTTGAAGACTAGGAAGATGAGGACAGGAGTCTTCCCTTCCAGCACATCTCTCCCAATTTATGCATATTATCATCTGTTTTGCCTTGTATTGGAGCTATGGTACTTTAAGGACTGAATGAAACTACTTGACATACCTATCATTTCATTGCTTAATTAATCAGCCAGGTTGTTGACATGTCCTTGTCCCCCCAGGCTCTGATCTTGCTGTCATTTTACCACTTAGTCAGGGTAAAGAGTGTGAAACCAGAAATCTAATCTGCGTCCACTCATAGCAAAACAAAACAACATAGTAAGGCCACAAGCACAATTCACAAGTTACTCTTAATATGCAAAACCACAACCAGAAAAATATTAAGTCAGAGTGTAGCAATTGTCTAATGCACTGACATGGGGTTTGATCCTGTTTGCTGGAGTTTCTGTATGAAAAGTGTTGCACATTATTTGACTTCTGGTGAACTCTGGCCCTCGGGTCGAAGCAAAGTGACCAAAGTAAAGCATTCTGGTACTATGAGACAGAGGAGACCTCTGCAGAGGAGATTTTATTAGCTTGCTTGATGGAGGTTGTGCCCCCGTTGCTCATTGTGTGAGAGGTTTTTTTACAGGTCTGCATCCAAGAAAATACATCTCTCTGCTTCATCGTTGTGCTGAAATAATGTTTTACTGCTGGGTTTGACTGTCTTTGTTTTGTCTGCCCTAGACTAAGTTTTAGGTTGTCTGAAAGCTGGAATTGAATAGAAAAAGATGCAGGATTTAAACCACTGAGAAGACTCTGTTGTTATGAACACAGTCAGGTCATTCCTACTTTTATGCAGGGTATTAGTTTCCAAATATTTTCGTGCCTCTTTGCTTGGAGCCCACCTTCCTGCCACTGATGCTGAGGCAGAACTGTGATCAGCAAAGGTCCAAGTACTGAAACTTTGATATTCATTAGGGCCATGGGGGAAACCAGAGCCTTATGCTGACCTTCTCTGATACAGAAAGCTTTAATTTTTTTTAAAGAGGATTTTGGAGGATATGAGACCATTAGGGAATGCTCCAAAGCAGATGCAGTGTCTTGGTTTATTGTATTACAGCTAGAGTGGAAAGTTTCACTGACTGGGTGTGTTGAAATATTGTACGGTCACTTGCAATTCAGAAAGCTTTCTGTAAGCACAGTCTTTTTTCTGTGCTTGAATTGTTTTGCTCTAAGGTGATCTAATAACGTTAGATCAAAAGCACTTTACTTGGAACGCTTTTTGAAATTTGGAAAAGTACTGGCATTTAAAAGAAAAGAAAATTGAACAGTTTCCTCACACTATAGTACAAAATAGTGCCCAGGTAGAACTTAGGACTGTTGGCACAAATAACTTGTTTGTTTATTACTCAATAATAGTGACAATGTTTAGCAACTCTGAAAAATCTCTCAACAAAAGGTATATACTATACAAACATGAACTTAGCGCACACCCTTATGTAGGGGGAATAGTCCCATGGAGGTAAACTTAGGTAAAGGGAGGTTAAATAACGTATCTTATTCAGTGCTTTGTCCAAGTTTTGTCCAAGTTTGTGCACAGAAAGCTTCTGCTACAACTCCAACCAGAACCTAAGAGTCCCAACATGTTCAGCTCCTTGTCTTGGTTCTCATAGTAGAAAATGACTGTGAAGCAGAACTGCTAATCTCTAAACTGCACAAACACAGCATTAATATTAGAATTCTAGAGTTTAAGGAAAAAGGCTCCAAAAATGTTTCTGTAAATCTTTGACAGAGTATTTGGAGCGCATTTTTCTTCACATGCTAATGGTGTTCATCACATTTGCTGAACACAGAAAACACAAATGCTGTTATTAACATCTGTATATCAGCAAGTTTATTAGGTGGAAATTGCTCCTTAAAGATTATTTGGCACATGATGGATTCCTACTCAAGATACAGATTCCAAATACTTGAAATTATGTTACCCTATTAAAAAAAATTAGATATTGAAAACAGTAGTGAATTCCTAGGAATTTAAATACTAATTTAAATTAGGTTGATATTAGGTTGATATTTTCCTAAGTATACACCCAAAAATAAAATCTCTAGGGTATGGCTGAACACCAAAATTGTTCAATGTTCAGCTGCAATGAGCCTTCTAGCATTGGCATCCAGGGTTTAGGAACACTTCCACAGAAGTGCAATTGCGTTTGCTGTTGAAACATCATAGCCTGAATCCCACATTTTACCATTACCCAAGTAGTGGTGAAAGGTGTTTCTCACCTGAGGGATATGTGACTTCCCACGCATGATTTTTTGGTGTGTGTGTGTATGTTTTCTTAAATTATAACAGCACTGTCTGTGGTAATGAAAGAGAAGAATAAAACAATGAATTTTTAGCAGTCAACACTCTTGGACATGTCTCATTTGAGAACAGAGTTAAGCTAATACATTCAAGTGAATTGCAAAAGGCCTTCTTTTAAGGGAGTTGTATGATCCTCTAACAGCTGAATACTCTCTCTAGATTTTCCTGGAATCATATCCACAATTAATTACCCCTGTTACTCCTGACACCACAAAAATCAAATTCCTTCTAGTTCCTTTGTTCGGAGATGTATGTTGTAGAAGATAATTCTGTGTAAAAGTTTCATGTCAAACTAGGCAGAAAATTCCAGAAAGCATCTTCTGATCTGGTGGTATTCCCATGTTAGAGAGGGTATGCCAGGGTGGAGTCATGAGTTGTTATTTAGTTTTAAGAACTCAATGATCAGTGTAGATAGAATATGAGGCTAATAAATAGGCATTAACTTCAATAGCCATGAAAATGGTAGAACTAGAGGTTGAAGCAAAGACTAGATCTTGTTGGGAGACTGACGTAAAAACTTACTGCCCAGACAATTATACATGGTCGTTGGTCATCAGGCAAGTGATGATACCAAATACAAACAGTATTTAGCTTTTATTTTTTGCCTTGAAATTATTGTTCTTAACCATATACACACATGTGCCTGAAGCAGTTATAACCATAACAGTGTCTCCCACTACTGCAGGGCTTGCCTTTAGCCTCTTTCCTCCCCAAAGACATTGCCTCACTTGGTGTCCCTTTACCATTCCTTAACAAAATTCAAATGTGAGAAAAGAGTGCAAACGAGGCAGTTTCTGCCTGCCCCAAACCTGAGGGTTTGAGTCTATGTGAGGCTGGCTGACTCATGAGTACTAGTGATTTGGAGTCTCCTTTCATATTAATTCTGCACATGGGACACATCCACTTCTTTACCTGCTGTAAGTCTCTTTGGCCATTTCCAACATACCTCTCTCTCTGCATTGTTCACATTGTTCATAGAGGGGTTGAGGTGGGAAGGGACCTCTGGAGGGCATCTGGTCCAACCCTCCTGCTCAAGCAGGACCACTTAGAGCCAGTTGCCCAGGACAATATCCAGACAGCTTCTGAGTATCTCCAGTATTTTTCTGCTCTTTTTCAAATGTTTGTCTTGCACTGCTTCCCTGAGCAATCAGTTAACTGTAGTAGCAAACCCTTTCTGAGCCTCTTTAATGTCTTCCTTTTGAGCACTCAGATCCCCATGTCACCTGTACGGGTGAGGAAGGGGTGGTTATCTGTCATAGATAAGGCAGGGTCTAGCTCTCCATAAAGGTTCAGCCAGTGCCTGGACCCATAGTATTAGCTCAGTATTTGCCATATCTGGGTTTGGAGAAAGTTTTGTTTCCAAATATTATTACCTCATCATTCTTCCTAAAGGAGTATCTTAATTCTCTCCTGTCTTCCTTCCATGCCTCTAAACTAATGTGACTCATCAGAGAGAGCTTAAAAATGCAAAGTCTGAAAGCCTGGAATTATTCCACAGTTAATCATCCCAAATGGCTTGAAGACTATGGTGTTCTGGCTATATTTAGGTGAGTCTAACAAGCAAACAGAAAAACTGTAATTAAGCTCTTCAGTCATCAACCTGCTACAGTGCTGTCGAGCCCGACTGAAGCCTCGTTGGGCTTGTTACCGTCACACCTGTGTTACTGTTCTTGACATGGTTTGGATGACCAGATTCTGCCTTTTTCAGAGGTGATGAAGACTTTAAATTTCTTCCACTTGTTGTTGACTTTGTGGAAAAAAATTGAACAAAGTAGTGCAGGCTCAAAAAGTGGTATCAGACCAGTGCATAGGATGCATATCAGTGCCCATCATTGCTTTAGTGATTAAAAAATGTACATACCAACTTCAAGTGGCTGAAATCTCAGCCCATCTCAGTATCTCTCATCTTCCCTGCATTA